ATTAAAAGAGAAAACTGCGGTGGGGCAGTGATAAAGCACAATAGAGTCCGCACCTTGTATTCTGAACGTATATTATCTATACTTTTTTCAGTTTAAGATGTCCGAAATCCAATTTGAGGTGGCACGATATGAATTTAAGATATCATGTCGCTATGTTTTCACTCTGTATTGTGCAAGGTACTATCCACATAGCAACATGACATCTTAAATTGATACTCGGACATCTTAACTTCATATTTTGACATCTTAAACTGAAAAAAGGGATAGAATCGGTTTTCCTCGAGGATGACAATACAGTTTAAGAAATGTTATGGTAAAATGAGGAGTGAATAGATTCAATGAATGTGTAAGCAACTATTAGGAGCCAAGTTTTTAAACAAACCTCAGAAGATATTCGAAAAATAGTGGAATCATTGATTCAAACTCAGGAGGACAGAAATGGTGGATCAATGGAAGGGGGTTGGTTGTTCAAATATGCGGTGAACATTGGCCAACAGAAAAGGAACCGACCACAAACTTGCCCTGAGTCTCGTTCTTTATCTGTGTGCGTATCTAATTGGTGATAGAAAGATGATTATTACCGTGCTGTTGGCTATCCGATAGCTTATTCGCAGTATCAAGGCGTAATATAACCAGAAAAATGAAGAAACCTATTAAAAAATGGTACAGTTTGCACAGTCATGGCACAAAAATGCATCCAAATGGACCTGAAACCGTGGAATCAGAACTGAAAGCGGTCCCAAGTGTATTGAAAAACGGTACACGAAGTGCGCCATGTTTTGTAAAGATATGTAATTTTCAATAACACGTCGTTGTCTGCGGAGTTGATAACAATCCGATAATTCGTTTACTGCTTACACCCTTTATTAAGGCAACTAGTTTATACGTTGACACAAAGGAAACCAAAGAGAGATCCATTTTTCTCATTCGAATTGATGGAGACTGGTCTTCTAGCACACTGAGAAGAAAGTGGTCCCTCTATCGCAGAGTTTGGGCTAGAAGGAACACAGGTGAACATGGAACCCAGCTTCATCTTATGGTTGTGCAGTTGCTGATTGGTTGCATTCCATTAAGGGTACGTGAGTTGATTTACTCCGTGTCAATCAGCCTCCTGGTCAAAACCTCTTTTTTCGCGACTCAGCCAGATAACGGATTCGTTATTGATCCATATGCATACATTCGCTAATCCAAACAGAAGAATTCTAGTCAACTTCAACACCAAAGTTGAGGCCCCATCTTTGGCAAATAAATGGGGTAGGTCCATTCTTTTCTTAAAGGAGGCCTAAACAGCTCGCTTTTGAAACGCTTCATTCATTTCTCCAAACGGCATATATGAGAGTAAATGTTTGCGCTGTCGGAACCCCTGGTATCACTAATAGCACCCAAACCTCTACGAGCAGTATTCTTTATTCCATCCAAAAGACCGGGACTATTACTAACTGTGAAGTTTTTCTATTCGTGCAATTCCTTTCACCAGCACTGTTATGGATAATACTCAGGGGTTTTAGGTGCTTACTGTTCAAGGGATTGGCATCAACTGCAATGAGTTATCGGACTTGTTGAAATGCACTGGAAGTTAATCGTTTGCTAGCAACATCATCCAAAATGTGATTTGTTTTGACCTTCGCAGAAAAATCTAGCGGGTCATGCTTTTTAGACTATGATGATCAGTACTTTTGACTCTTACAGAGACTGCATCTCAAAATTATCAATTGATTTTTATCGACTTATCGACTCGTTATCTCTGGACAAGTTCACATTGATGCGAGAGGGTTACATTCATTCTGCTTCACCTCATAAACTGCTATGCATTGATTCAATGATCCAGTCACTGACGTCTTGAGTTAATGATCAATACGGTTATCGGTCAGTTGTGTTCCACTAATTCATCTTCAGAGCCTGCAACATATAATTTGGTTTGCTTACTACAGACCATGTCATCCTGATCAAGATGAAAACCCGGGCGGTGCTAAAAGTGATATGAACCCACCCTTCGATTTCAATGACTTTTACAGTTGTTGCGGTTGTCAAGTAAATTACACTGTTCAAAAAGTACACGCCAGTCACACGATCAGTGGAACAATTAATGAGCTATCTTTCCATCGTCTAATGCTTCATGAGCTTGAACGTGATAGGCAAGAAGCAATAGTAAAAACGGTCATGTCTGGCATGCGATTCTTCCTGATATAAGCAAAATCAAAGTCTCGACATGTTTTGAGTGTACGTCGCTCCATACATCGGTGCATTAGGAAGGCATCATAACAAATAATGTCGAGTAAGTGATTCCGGTTAGATCTGAGGATGAACGAACGACAAAATTGATAAAAAATGTGGTGCGCCGGAAAGATATGCCCACTCTCCCCAGAGGCCGAGAGTGCCAAAGTACAGTCAGCGATTAATAAAAGAGGACACCCAATAACTACTTTATGATCCGTAGCGGCTTCTGAACGATATCCACTATCAGGAAGCCTTGCATTATATGTAATTTGTTTTCTTATCCTGAAAGAGCCCTCAAGCTTTCTAACTCTTCCATTTGTCCCTTCTTCACTTACCGCCTGTTGTGAGGTAATGCTAATATTTGTGAGTAGCATGCAAAATAGTGTGGTTAACAAGAAGACCGAGGACAAATTAATGTATCTCAAAGAATAACTACCGACTGTTCCATTCATTACCCAGTGTGTTACCGGGAATAGTGATGATATGTTTCAAATGCGATCCCTGTGTTATGTATATCAAATTACTGATATCCCAACTGTAATCTACAGTAAACAACTATCCTCGACTGCGCACCACCTTGTGGAATTATAATACCAGCTAGGCTTGCCACCAAAACACAATTTTGCAAGTCTAATGGTTGCATAAACTGGCTCTGTGTTAAATGTCACAGGATTCCACAAGCCATGCTTTTCTCGTTCAGCAATTGAACTCTTACAATACGAGTAAGAACTGTGATTCGAAAAGATAGATTAGTGGTGCCCCTAAACAGCAAACTTATTGTACTGAATCAGTTCTCGTCTATCTCTTTTTATCTAGGCTGGAAAAACATTCATTTACTACATGGATGCTCTCCTTCATGTGCGCAAATTAACAGGAAACGTCTCTTCTACTTTGTGATTTTTCTTTAGTTATAAACGCTTTCAGACAGAATTCAACGGGCGATCCATTCACGCAATAATACATCGACAACTATTTGCAAGCCCACATTTTTTGCTTCAAATAACAGATTTCGTCACCGATCACAGATATAATTCGTTCGATTTTCTTGTTACTCATAAGCAGCATAAGTATATATTCGTAAAGCAGCAGTAGCAGATTCACCTAAACCGTACATCTGTGTGGGGTAATGTACATTAGCATTTTTATTCAAGCATCATCATGTTATATAGAAGCTTTCAACCATTTTAATACTGGAAAAATATGAATCAACTACAAATGAACTGTAGACTTCAGGACAAAGTTCCACATTAGCGGAATCCTGAGAGGATCAGATATCAAACAGTTTCTGTGTACGGATGTGCGAGGAGGAATCAAGTGGAAGTTGTAGCACGTGCAAGAATGGAATTTAAATGCAGATAAGTAGATGTGTACTGGGTCGGTGTCATCAGATAGGATTTCGTTCACAGACTTCACGCAAGTGTCAACAAATCCAAGACCAATATCGTTCATTCTAACAGATAAGGGGATTATGGAAACATGATTGGTCATTTTCATTCGGTTGCATATACGCAGCTGCGGGTGTTTGTTCTCCAATCGGTTGATTACTTATGAATTATGCAGCACGCCATCTTCTCCAGTTTAACGTTCGGTAACCAAGCTAAGGAAATCTGAGTTTGAATAGCCCGTACAAGTGTTATGAGATACTACTCACTTGTGAGATGCAATCGGCGGTTTCTTTCAACGACCAAAAATCAGCAAGACCCGTTGGATGAAAACTGCTGACGTTCGGTACGGTGAATACAACAATGCGCATCTAATGGCGACCTATCCATGAACTATCCCATGTGCGTGTGGGAAATCTGCAACCTTGTTCCAGATGTGATATTTTGTTGTTTGAACGAAAATTTAGCTATATCTCGAGCGCTATTGGCAATAAACCATTATCCTCGACCAGCGCCGTCTTGTGGAATTATAACACTAGTACATATTTTTCCTTCCGTTTTTCAACAACCACAATCAGACGGTTGTAACGAATTCATTCAATTTGGCGGACGTGAATCAGCATAAATCTCCTTTTGACTCTTATATACGGAACACCTACTGAACCCAGGGCATTTGGATGAAATTGCAAGTCGGGCCTGTTGTGTCCACTTTTAAGCAAATAAACAAATACGTGACGAAGTTCTATTTGCATTATGTAAATGTACACGTATCCGGTTTGTGCACCGGTGAGCAAGCAGGGCGTCAACACACCGGCAGGCAGACCAACAGTGGCGCATGTGTCACCGACAAGCGGGATGCCATCAAGCTGGGCAGTCAACCAATCAATTCGGACGAATCAATACTGACATCTAATTCGTTGAGACGAGTTGACCTTGTGATGGAGTAAATCAGAATGATGTGCGTGTGGTGACTGGCCGCAGCGAACTGTTATGCTGTAGGCGATAAACATTTCAGTCGACTGCAGGCTACAGTAATTCCCAAGACAACAGTCATCTAAATAGCACAAGTGGTGCTTGAAGTTGATACTATTAGTATTGATTTTTACGATACACGATGACACAAGCTGACTCTATGATAAGCCCATCAAGTTTTCACAGCGACTTTGCAATCACTAACGGAAATCGAACTAGGAAGAATATTGATAGGATAGATTAAGCAAACTCAAGTGACAGATATCACTTTGTACATACTTTTGAAAGGATACGGCGTATGAGCATCAAAGTGCTAGAAAATAAAACGCGTCGTACACGTTATCCGATCGTTGAGGCGACTCTCAGTAAACCCTAATCCGAAACAGCTACTCTACTCACGTCTTTATCGGCTACCTCTTCTAAACATGTTACTGCTGATTGCGCAATTCCATGTTCCTGTTCTGTGGACTGTCAAAATGCTATCAGTGTCTGTATAGATAGTTTAATGCACAATTGTTTCGTATTTCGGTGAGATTTTGTAACACAAGAGCTGTGAGGTAAAAACTTTGTATAAAATAGCTACAAGAACTTCAAAAGCTTATCTCAATAAAAAAACAGCGAATGAATGCAGAGGATTGTTTAGTTCTTGACTGAGGTGGCGGATATTAATCTCATCGGAATGGACCTTCCTTTGTTGTCTGACTCAACCAGGAAAATGGTTCAAATGCATCTGTAAGTGTACAATCATAGAGCTCTTTTGATTTCCAGATACTGTGTCAATGCCGAATCGTCCGGCTCAGTTTCACCCGAGTCCAACACACTGTATGTACCACCAAGCTGTTCCGTCACAACACCGGATCCGATCGGAGCACTTGATGATTCACCAAATTTTTGGGTATCCCAAAACGTGGACAACGAGGATGTCGGTGTGGCCAGATTGGATTCCATCGATCCGTCGTCACACTTGGCTCGAACCCTGTTCTCGAAGGCAATCAACTGCTGATGTAAATCGGAAAATGTGGGTCGTCGTTTCGCGTCCCACTCCCAACAGGCGCGCATCAGGGCGTACACAAAGTCCGGCGCGAATTTAGGCCTCGGATTACGTCCTCCGGATCGAATGAGTGCAGGTACTGCGGCCGGATCGACAGCAGGGAACGGAGTTGAGCCAAACGTGAAAATCTCCCAGAGCAAAACACCGAATGACCATCTGTGCAAGGAAACACATGCAAAAAAAGGGAAGGGGGGAATAATCGCAATGTGACATACCACTACAGCATGAACTGGAGGTGTACGATGTTTACGGTAGTATAGTCTTGCACAAAGCCAGCAGTCATAACGCTTTTTTTGTTTGCAGCTTTAGCTTCGGATTAAATAAAAACAGCGGGAATAGAACTACCAATTTCCAACTTGGTAGAGCACAATTATTATTGAATATACATGGATTGATTAAAGCACTGATCGGTGTTTTACTCCAGAGTAGAATATCATTATTCTCTTGTCTACAAATACCTCTGCGATCTAACCCCAGAGACAGTCATTCTATAAGGAAAATAGGTGGACCTGTACTACTGAATATGAGTTGCTAATTCAGCCAACCCAAGAAAATTTTATATTCTATGAGCACAAATTATACGTATGGGATTCTCTTCGTGAGATTCGGATTCACTGGTATTCTTTATTCAAACTTATTTAGTGATGCAGTGGCTAGAAACCTGCTGTGTATAAGAGTCCTTATGTCAAAGAAAGGGGATTGGTATGGGAGAAAATTCGAAGGGGACGCAATAGTTGGTGACATGAAATTCCTGTTCAGTTACTTCGAAATTGAAAAATGATTTCCTAACCTTGAAGCGGTAAAAAAATAACGGATCTAGATGAACTCAGTTTCAGTAGAGACATGATAAACGGATTATTGAGTAGATGCTACCAATCTCTATATCGCTAAAGGGACAGCGTTAACACGTGTCTTATCTGTCGCCCACCATCAGTAGAAAGCGTTTCCCAACAATTGATGAGTACGGAGAACCGAATAATGACATATGTGCATCAGAAAGAATTACTCTCAAAGTATTCATCTCACGATCTACTGAACAGGACTGTCAGTCGTGATTTTACCAAACAGCAAATAAAATGGGAGAAGTTCATGAAAAACTGCAGAGACTCACACATCTGACTTTGTCGTGTAAACGCGTTCAAAAAGTGATTCTGGGGCAAGCCATTTCACCGGTAAGCGACCCTGTGTGTAAGAAAGAACCATAAGGTGAGAAGTGACAGAGTTTCCTGACATGAAAGCGTTCAAAAAACAAAAGTATGCAATCGCAGTCATTATCATCAAAACAAATCAGCAAATGAATCTAATTAGACCGGAAAAGAAACTGAAAATTTACGTATCTGGACGTTTGATATAAACACAGAGCCAAAGAAATGAAAATAACAGTCATTGGGAATCATTTCTGTCCACTCATAGGTATAGGAACTACGAGGTTAATGAACAATCCAACGCAAAACGGTCGCGAAACAGGCATCTTTCAGAGGTTAAACCCAAACAAGGCAGTACAGGAATGAGTATGCTATGACGACAAAAGATGATATTGAAGCGGTCGAAAAATTCCGCACAAAAATTCACTAAGTAGAAGTTTTTTCTGTAGCTCCTTCACGGGTTACGTCATGCACAGTTTGTAAAACAGCGATTTGCAGGTAATTGCCGATTTCTTGCATCGCACAGACAGATATCTGTATACTACTTATTAGTAGCTAAACAATTGTATTCAAAAGTTCGGAACGATTAGACAATGTGCATGTGTCCGAATGTCATTCACCCCGAAAGAGAAAGACGTTCCCCTTTTTAACAGATCTTCTCATTCACAAGAAAAGCAGACGACAAATTCTAGAGATGAGCAAATCAATCGCTTACCACCACCTCTTATACAAGTAAGACATAAAAATGGATCTTGAAATCCGGACAAATTCAGTTGGACATGCGATACACCACGAACAATCTGAATGGAGATTGTCGTCAGAAGCTCTATACCGAGTTAATTGATCATTATGGTCCTTCTCATACGGTTGTTTTGAGGAACCATCGTTGACCACCAAAATACTAGTAATCGAGGATGACTCTTTGCCACGTGATTCCTAAAAGTATCACGGAAAATAATTGTACTTGTAGATCTTCTACCTCCATTTTGCAGCGCTTATTGGTGTGCGTTTGGACCAGTATGGATCAATTCGGCTTTACAACGATTGTAAGTGAATAATAAAACTTATGAGAATCATGGGGAATTGACGTAGAAAAAAGCGGGGTGCTTCACAGGGGCACATGTCCCAAAGTGTAAGAAATTCAATTACCAACAACACAGGTAATGTAAACGAAAGTAGAAGGAACAAATACCATGGTCACAAGTACTTATTGTTCGGCTATAGGAACGGGCAATCTTAGCCCTCAACATTGGAGTGCATGACCAATTAAAGCCTCAATGGGTTACACATGGTATTGAACCGGGCAAAAGTAAGGCTGTCTATGACCCTTATTCTGCACAGTTTACAGATTTGTGGAGGACTACAAGCCCTAAATGTATTGACTCGCACGTTAATAAAAAAGTAAGATCCTCTCAAAGAATGAAACTGCTTACATTTGTCACTTTGCGGTAGTAGTATTCCACATTTCGCGTCAGACCAAAGTCCGATATTTTCAGCACGTAGTTCGTGCCTACTAGAATGTTTCTTGCTGCCAAATCACGATGAATGATCTAGAAAAAATTAAAATAAATAAATAAAATAAACTGATGAAATGAGCTCCTTCATGTTCTCTAAACAAATTGCGTGCATGAACGAAGGACTGACTGTACTTACCGAACGCGACGCCAAGTAAGTCATTCCTTCGGCCACCTGAAGACCGTAATTGAGCAACAGAGCCAATGTGGAATCGGAGCGCTCAAATACCAGTTTATGCGCTCGCAAATAATCTCTAAGGTTTCCGTGAGGAGCGTACTCGAGAATCAAACATGGTGCACCTGGTATAAACACACATAAACAAGCAATTATAACGACAAGACAAATTGTTCTTATGTTAATGTTTCCGTTAAGTTTGAGAAAACCTGCAGCTAGAAACGGTAAAATCAAAACGACATATAAACTCTCTCCTTCAATAGTCATTCCCGTTCAACAGAACAGCAAACGGGAACTGTCATTGGTCTACACCAGTTCTCCGTTCAGACCAGCGTGTAAACATTTAAAAATTGACGTACTGTGCTGATTGATTCTTCCAGTAGAAAGTTATGGGATGGGGAAAATAGAAATTCAGGTCTTTTGGTGCATGTGATTTACGTCCTCGAACTTGAAAAGGGATACGGTCGGAAAGTGTAGAATGACTATTTGCCTCATTCACACATTCAAACATACTGTCCATGGTCAATAAACTCGGAAGGCTCCGCATAACAATAGCAACAGCAAGAAAACAACGCCAAAAGTCGATATCCGATGCGTTGCGGTTAAACCAGGTAAGGTCATTCATCAAATTTAGGCCGGACAGCGTGACCCTCCTCAGTCCCCAAAATAGGAACAACATAATGCGTTAACGGAGATATTGTTCTGTGTGTATATACAAGCTGCTGTGTTAAAAAAAGGCCAATAATATATATGCCGTTGACAAAATCGAACCCCGTTTTGTGGTTCTGTGACCGGCATTCACCCTCATTTCTCAAGCGAAATATCCCTACGCCCGAGGCAAACATGTAGCTAAATAAAAACGAAAGTTAAACATTCAACACCTAATTCGATAGATTTAGTTGTAAAAACTTTGTAATGTGATGCTCGAGAAAACACAAAGGAGAATGGAATGAGAGATTAGAATGGAAAGTCAGCTATTTTTCAATGTGAAATAATTAGGGATTGCGTTCGACCATGTACTACTTTTCATTACAATACATTGGAAGGAATGTGAAGCTGTTTGATTTTTCTTAATGGTATTTGGAAACCGAATTCCCTGGGAATCGAACTCGGGCAAGACGTGGTCATCAACGCTAATCCAACCACCTTCTTTGTTCTGTGGCAACGAATGCGTGCAATGGTTCTTTTGGTCTGCTCGTAATTTCTCCGTTTGTATAAACAATCACCCGTAACTGTGGTATGCCCACGTGCAAACGCTATTGAAACTCATATTTTTGGCTCTTTTGTTCGAATTTTCGACGGGTAAATGATTATCGTTTCTATCAGAATAGCTAAATACTAAGCATATCCTTCGATGACTCCATATTACTCCCCCCACTACTCTCATCATCGTTCTAGGAATTGACATATCAGTTACCGTATCCAAGCTACAAGACCTGTAGTAGTGGCTACATCTTTGACTATTCAATACAATCAGATGTGTAATGATAATACTATTTATAATGAGGGAATCTGACTAGAATTTGAAAGAAGATCATGTTTCAAAGTGTTAGTCCTGTACATGGAAGATTAAAATGAAAATCAAGTTGAAAATCAATAAGTAAATACAATGAACCAGACAAGTTGTATTGTTATACATCATGGAGAGCTTATTTTTACGACAACAAATTTCGGATAGCTTAATCATTATTTCTCAGGTATGAGGTACAAATAAACAGAGGAAGATAGGTTGAAATGAACACTAATCTAAAAAGCAGTTTAGATAAACTTCATTGGATTGCAATAGCTTCATTTGTATTTGACTTTATTGGAGCTATTAAAATCAGTGAAAAGAACATAACGTCCTAAATGTCGGTCAATAAATTACCATCATTTAGCACCTAGTTGAAAATTTTGGTTTACTGTTAGAGAATAACATCTTTCGGAAAACGATGTTGAAGGACAAACGATTGAGAATGAGGTAAGACATTCAAAGTGATATGTCACCGATGATTTTCCAAATAACTAGAGTTTGATGGTTTGCATCGCGAACCGCAAGTTCCAACGTGTTACCACCATACCACTATACTGCCTCGACATTAGGTGGCAACCGTTTGCCCGGCTAACCGGTACATCTTTTCCGATGAGCACTGATTCACTCCATTGCATGGCATATCCATGTGCAACCGAGTTCATGAAATTCCATTGTTAAATAATTGTGAAGAAATTTTATCAATAAGTCAAAAATAATAATAATGAAATACACAATGATTAACCTTTTTGTGTGCAAACTGCCAGAAGTTGGATCACGTGTTTGTTGTATTGTAGCTGTTTCATGATGTCCATTTCCTTTAACAAATCTATTACATCGTTTTCTGCAAAATTGTCTGAAAATGGTAGCGAAAAAAAACAAGGGAACAGGTTTACTGAACAGCTCATTTTCCATAGGTATTCTGGAGCTCTCGGCAAAGAAATTCGGTGTTGTGATCACGATAAAAATGAAATGAAAATAATGAAACGGAAGATTTCGATGACAATGTTTCCATCTACTTCGTAGATCAACTGAATCCGTTTCTCAAATCCACAAGCTTTAGAATGAAATGTCGTAAAGCTAACACAATCAGAAAAAATGCAGGCACATGTGTGTGTGGTCATTTGAGTGTACTTGTGTAACAACTACCGGCATTAATAAAACAACGTCGTGAAACATAGGCATGGGATTTTAAATCTCTCACTCTCAAGCNCAAGCACGCTGTTGAGAATCTTTCCGTTGGGTTATTGTGGTGATCCCAGCCTGCTAGATGACCCATACCCTGGAGCGACGCGTTACAGTTTTAGGACAAATGTGAACAATCAAACTTCACGGGTGACGTCAGCAAAGCGTGTGCGCGCCACTGTTTCTGAACCGCATACCATAGGTCGATCGTACCATCCAATGAGAACCCAGACAGAAGCTGAACAGTAGTAGAAATACTAGAACGCGATTGGTAGAGACCCGGACAACCACTGAGCTTTTTTTGTACATACAATTCAATCCCCCTTATTTATTTCGATAAACGAACTACTACTCCTGTGGAATTTTCCTCGTGTCTCGGTTAGGTGGGACATTGCATAACTGCTAATCAGTGATTCGTATTCTGTGATTCCCATTCAGTGATTCGTGTTCCGAGTTCAGTGCGTACCACTACCATTACTAAAACCGCTACAATTATGTCGAATGAATCAATGAAGTTCGTAGAGGAATTTCTCTTGGATATGATATAGACTATTTCCGTGTAACAGCACATAGTATACCTACTGACAACTATCTATCAAAATTCACTTATAACTAGTACGCTGGTACTTAGGCGAATCAGTGGTGAATTAACTTCTTAATCACAGTTACATTTGTATCATTAACCTCAGCCGCCGGTTGATACGACGATACAGTCTTCCAGAGCTATGAGTGTGATTTTAGCAATGTGTCTGTTGGCATTTTAGACTATGAGAATAGGGCGGAAATCCGTGGGCATGAAACATAAATCTGAAGTCATGGGCCCATCAATAACCATCCTATACCGAACATTGTTTCTAAGATGGGCTTTTGCATGGGACACCTCATAACAGAAAATGATTGGAGACGGTGACAGAATAAAGCATAAACAACATTAAACCAAACTTGAAGTGAATGAAAGGACTAAGCAGAGATAATCACTCCGACCACACTGCGGTCTTATACAATCTGGTCATTCAAAACTATGATGTTTACGCTGTTTCAGATATGGTAGTCGGGATCAATAATAACCACCGGCATGACCACCAAACAATCCAGTACAATCGATGTGGCTGTTTCGATAAGCAAATACTATCATCCTCGGTTCTTCCTCAAACCTCTCTCTAATGAGTGATGCTTATGGTCCTCGTTAGACAGAAATCCTGCCCCCTCCGTGGAGTGTTTCCATTGCAGTGAGAAGGCCAAGCTCTGGGGTTATGACTGGGTTGAAGAATCACTGTTGGTTAACTGATCAACAGGATCTATCCAGCCCTGGGTTCCAAACTATCCACGATAAGGTATGTGAACCAGCTACATGACTCCAGGACGAAGGATCATCAGTTCAATTGGGTTTCCCGTGGTTTACTGACTCGAATCATCGTCCCAATGTAATACCAATCAAATCATTCAAGTAATGCAACTGCTCCGAACGCTCAAATTACAATCAAATAGAGCGTGAAGGTTATGTGGCTGGCTCCATTTCCCTACAACGTGAACATTGCGTGGTCCAGGCTTGTGGCCAAACACAATATAGGACGAACAGTCAAATGGAAGATATAAACCAACAAGCAATTATTAAATGGCTCACCTCGTAGTGTTTTCACAGCAACCGACTGCGATCCCGGTAGCTGGCCAGGAAGATCTTTTGCCAAACCACTATACACCATCCCGAACGCCCCACCACCCAGGAAAGAGCCAATACGGAGATTTTCCCGGGGAAGTTCATAACCGGGATCCGGTGCTTCGAGGCAATAGAAATTCATGAAACGGCTGTTTACACTAACCAACGAATGGTGTAGTTTGGAATCTTTGTTTGATTGAAGCAATTCGCTGGTGGCCAAATCTTCCTTGGAAATGCCATCCGGAGCGGTCACATATTTGCCCATCCTGGGTCTGTTTGTTGCGCGGGCGATGCGACGACTCAATGCCGTTTTCAAGCGTGTACGAAACGAACCGTTCAAACAAACAGTCTCAAATTTGACTGCAGGTTCCAGGACCGGCTTTTCGGCGTCCGAATCCGCTGTGGTCCGTGTGAGCCACGATAGTGTTTCCTTATAACCGGAGCTGACTGCGAACGACCGGGAAACCAAAGAGGTCCAAGCCGATTGGGTACTATTGGGACAAGAAGATTCGGGCCACTGAGCATCATCATTTGGATGTGAAATGTGAATGACACGACGAATCTCCGGTTTGGTCTCACGTTGCAGCCAACAGACACCGGACGCAACGAGGATGAGACAAATCAGGCCGGCTATGGCTAGGGAAATCCAAAGTGACCAATAGGCTGACGTGCCACAGAGCAGGGAGATCAGAGAACGGAACAGATAAGAAAGTTAGGTTCACACAATAGGAAAAGCAATCCAAACAAACAGCCAATCAATCGAAGGATGTGCGTTTGTTTAACTCCCTACTTCGATAAGAAAACTAATCATAAATTTCCCCGAGGAAATAGTGCGAACGCGGCACAATGTATATCGCCACTATTCCGGAACCGAATTGATAACGTTCCATCGTAATAGGAAAACAAGATAACAGCCGTTACGGATTCCAGTGACATCTTGATTGTACTACTAACGAAAAAGACAAAACTGTTTAACAATTACGCACAGTACACAGCTCAGTGATTACCATAGCGGAGTAGAGGAATTAATTATCAAATTCAAATTTTTATTATGGGTAAATCACAAAGCTGATGCTCATTGGATCCCATAGGATCTGTACACACTGGTTTACGTTGGTGGTACAACTAAATAAGTGTACGGTTAGGTGTTTGAATGCTTCATCGATCTGTGATCTGAATGAATCGATGGTAGAAACACAAATAATTTGAGAGGGAAGTGAGTTCCAGGTATTACAAACTCAGAGGATTAAAAGAGTGACGCCTGCAGTCTTGCCGACTCCTTTGGAGCAAGTTTAAATGGATTTCCCCTGAAGTGACCGTTCCAGGAAAGTGCTAGTAGAGTACTACACCCGGGGGATAGGCTGATGTAGTATTTGATTTAAGAGGATCTGGTCTCTTCATATTCGACAGTATTCAGATGAACAGAGTCTGAGAATTTGCAGTCTTTCACCGTAGGTTTTAAATTGTAACCCTTTGGCCATTTTGGATCCTGTTCTCTGCGGATGTTCCAGTGCCTTTTGGTCGTAAATTAGCCACGAATTCCAAGCTTATATAGCATATTCGTTGTGTGCTCTAGTGTATGCTGATAGCAAGCAGGGCTACAGATCTGCTTCGAATGTTTTGCTAATCTAACTTGCTTTATGGTCTTTGATGATGCTCTTGCGCAATGTGTGGAATATTCTAGATCCTCATGAACAATAAATTCCAGATCCTTTTCGTTTCGAGCACGCGGTACTGGATGACTTTTAAGTAGGACCTCTATGACACAACGATAAAACCTTGCATTTCTGAAATTTGAATTCAATATCATCAGCAATAGATGGTAAACTGTACCGGGAGTTTCCTGTAGGGCTTCATGATCTTCAGGATGTTGTACCATTCTCTATGTTTTGGTGTCGTCAGCGAATAATAGTGTCTTTTCTCCAAGTTCATCCAGTAGGTCGTTTATGAATCCTAGGAAAAGGTACGGACCGAGAACGGATCCTTGGGAAACTCCACGGACTGCCTCAATCGGTCACGATAATGAAACATTAACTCTAACCGATACGGTACGTTGCCGAAGAAATTCCTCAGCTCAGTCAAGGGGCAGCCACATTTGTAAATGGATGAAATGATACGGCTTTCCATAGACTGAGGAATTACTGTCGTGTCGAGCATGCTTTGGTATAAATGAGCAATTATTTCATACATGTGGTTTGCCAAGGATGTCAGTCTATGGGCGGATGTTATCTTCCCCTGGGGATGAACTCTTACATAGCGCCAATAGTATGGATTTTTCCGTTTCAAATTCGAAGGTAAAGGTAGTCAATTGGGTGTATGAGATAATAAACAGAAGACATGGAAGTTGCAATCCGACTTTGTCACCTGCAGCGTAAACTGGAACTGGACTTTTGAGAATTCA